AGTAGTCGTAGTAATTGGATCGCGCTGCGCGAGTTCGCGCACTCCTGGCACACAATTAGGCGAAGTTACGAGAAGTGATGACATTCATCAACGTTAGCAGCCCGACGCGAAGTACCGTATTTGTGGTGTCAAGCCCCAGAAGGGGGAGAATTGACAATGAGAAGGGACAAGGATAAGAGAAATTTGTAGGGAGTCAAGCAAAGCGCCCGGGGAAAGAGCCCTGAGCAAGTACCTGCGCGCTCTCCCGAAATTCGGTTCGTACGCCGTGAGGCAGGAAGAACCATGGGTGGTGGTGGGATTTGTTGACACCAAAGGAACTTGAGTGAGGGCGCGGTATCATAGCTAGAGCTAGAGCACGACCTGGCGCCGCCGCTGCTGGCGCGCGCCGAGCCGCTCGAGCTGCAGCTGGACTACTGGCTGGTGAGATATCTTTAGAGATTTAAGAGTCTCCGCTAAAACTCGCACGATGGCCCGCACGCGTGTCTGTATCGAAAAATATTATGAGCTGCGCATGAGTGTGCGTGTTTCCACACGCGCGACAAGTGACTTTCATTAGTGGCGCACGCGTTGGGTTCCCGCCGCGGGCACGCTCAAGTTTTAGCGCAAGAGCAAGTCTTGCAGTTGCAACACTCATTTAAATTGGCGCCACTGTCTTGCCCATTAGCAAGGGGTAGGACTTTTCTCATCATCATTTCACTCATAAGACGTCCACTGCAAAGGCTTCCTCCGTAATTTTTCCAGATTGGCCGGTTGGTAGCGGCCTGCTTTTTTGACTTAACTCATTCACTCACGTACACACGGCCACACTATCCATTTCCGTTTTTGCTCTTGATCTCATCAAATGGTGAATCTTTGCGATAGAACGAGATGACATGACAGGCAATGGATAGTTAACACTGTTGCCGATGGTACATTAACCCATTAACGCCCGCCGTACAATAAATAGTACACAACTTTAAGTTACGATAAATCTGGTTTAGTGGGTATTTTTACTCTGGAAATAATTACAATCGGTAAACAAAGGTCTATGCATTATATCCTGAGATGAAACAGACCATAACGATACAATCTTAAGGGGGTATTTTGCGATTTCGTTTCAGTGATTTTTTAGTGTCTTCTAGTGGGTACTTGATAATTTTTTATGCAAGGTTTAAGTGACACAAAATACCAAATAAGTTGTTTGTGTATTAGCTAACAACTTATCCTAATAAAAAATACAAAGAAAAGTTCATTTCATGGAAAGTTTTTCATGCTATAACTCCCAAAGTGATGCTGTACTAACTTTTGTACAATGGGCGCTTGACACGTTACGTAAAATAGCACAGTAACGACATTATTATTAGAGTGTTTACCTATTTCTTCATAGTTTTTATATGTTATCATTGTTTTCTTTTTCCAATGACATGGCTCTTTATTTATGGGGTTACAGACAACAAAAAGAAACATTTTGTTTTCCCAATTATGACCTGTTTGTCGACCTAAAGAGACTTAGTTACATAGTTTTTGGAACCACACGTGAAAACAGAACCAAACGGTATCCTTTGATTACTTATAAAGATTTTCACAAAAAGCATAGAGACTTATTCGACAAGCCAAACATAATTTTACTAGTATTGATTGAAAGATAATAATGTAAGTACTATTGGATCAAATTTTGATGCTTTAGAACCATTGGGAAAGGTCATTATTGGGGTCTTTTGATAAAAAACCAGTAGAGTTAGGCACCACAGGGTGTCCAGCTACAATATAATAAGAAGATCAGTGGGTTAGATCAGATGGCTAGTCTATAGAACTTTACCAAATTGAGGTAAAAGGAAAAAAAGCGGTGGATGGGTCTTGTTCGCTTATATGGTGGACATGACAATTTCAAATGCATGCAGTCTGCACTGCATAGTAAACCCATATAGTCGCTTAGATCAGCTAGCATTCCG